TAAAATTCCGTCCCAAGCCGATTTGGGCTTAATACGCGGCTGGGCCTATTAAACGTGGGCTGAATAACCGGCGACTACTGTAATTTGTTTTCCATAAATGTGCGGTTTCTTATAAGAAAGTCTGTTGGGTTCCAGTCTCACTTTGCCACTCTTTTTACGTTTTTGATGGCCTCTTCGTCTTGACACGCCTGACTTTTTATCTGAAATTTTTATGCGTGTGACTGAGAACAATTATGAATATTGTCAATATAGAGCATTTCCATAGATGTCTGTAAACGAAAAAATTTATGTAAAGCCTCCTTCGTCCTTTTCTTTCTCTAACTTCCCGACATATTCGATCGGAATCCTAGGAGCATTACTCAAGACCACGATCCTCTCATACTTACTGTGATCTGTTGTTTATGACGGCATTCCTTTTTCATTTACAGATTGTGTTTCTTGTAATGCGCATGTCTGCTTATTTTGTCCATGGTTTCGTCCTATCCCGTTCTGTTAAGGCTGCCAGCATTTATCCTAACACCTTTGTGATGGCCAGAGTATTATCAAAACAGAACACAAAAGTATTTATTTTGTTCACTTAGAAAAAGACATTAGTCATTGGTCTATAAAACTGCAGATAATCCTCCTTTGTTGCAGGGTCCCTGTAGGTCTCTCCCAACACACATCATCCTCGATGTTTGCTATTGCACCGTAAAACAGGACGTTTACATTATTCTTCTTGGTGATTAAGCTTCAGACAGGTTTGACCAGTTTACCCTACTTGTGAGCAGGTTATAGATAAACCAGAATTTTACGCACTTACATGTTGACGTTTGACGAAGAAACTTTTAACGGAAAAATGCCCTTGCCAAAGGCCCAGAGGCATTTATTGGTAGGTTCTCAAATTAGCGGTCAGTAGAATTGCTATATTGGCGGTTCGGTCGTCGCTTTCAACGAGGTCCACCGTGTGCTGTTCAGCAGAGTGACTCACGGACGGTGACTTGCACTGGATCACAATGACAGTAGGCTTGCGCTGCATTTACAACACTCTCTTCCCTCACCCACCTGGGCCTGGTATCGAGACAGAGCCAGGAAGATCAGAGATGGGAAAGGGCACAGGCCCACGTACTGTGGGCCACCACAATCAGAAAACGACAACTTAATTGAGGACCGTTCCGATCCTAGCTGAGTGGGAATGCCATAAAGGCCATATTGTGAGGGAGATATTGCAGCCTGACTCTCAGTCCGCCATTCAACTACTCCACAAAACACACATTAAGCTGACCACGCGGTCCGATTTTCCGTCCGTTGGCAACCTTCCAAGCCACAGTTTTTAGTGCGCCGTGATAGTTTCAACTGCGTCAGATGGGTTATAGTGGGGCGAGTGCGCAGAGCCATCAACCTTACTGGTCCAGATCACGAACAATGATCCACATGAGCTGCGTGTTCCTGGCATCTGGAGGAGCGGATCGCTACGCCTCGGGAAAGGGAGGAGGCGGAAGTGTACGCTTAAGTGCGCCTCCATGGCACCATATATCTGAGGTCGCTAAGCGACAGCCTGATATCACTCAAGTACGAGCCTCAAGGCACTTCCTAACCAGATAGATCGGATGAATACCTCAGTTCCAACATTGCTATATAAATGCATAAATACATGTGATTCAGCCGATGAAATTATGTTATCGTCATTTTCAGTGAATTTGCCTCTCTTTGTCGCAAGATTATGTTCAGAAATTTCCCCGGTTCTTTGAGTCTTGGACAGTACTTAATCTGCCTGTAAACAGGTACTTTAATAATAGGTTTACTTATGCTTTCAAGGTTGTCCAGGAAGTCAAGGGACAAGGAAGTTAGTCAGACAGATTGTACGTCATTAAGCTGCGAGTTCACCGAATGGTCTTTACGGGAAAAGCTGATAGCTATATCCCGACCTCAACCATGCTTCGCCGTCTTTTAGAAGACCATGGCAGAGGAGACACTAATATCCCTTCTACTTCGTCAATATTCATCGGAAATTTCGATAATTCACTATGCTCGAACGATCATACTTTCTGTAAATGTGGACCCGGTTCAACAGTTAGATAAGATCTACTATCTTCTGTTTTTATTTAATTTTGTACACAGCATAACCGGACTCTTCAGTTTTGTTCAGATCTCCTTATCTTCGATTTCTGCAGCGGGAAGTGATGAAAGTCACAGCAGAAAAGCCCTTTGAAAACAGGGGGGCATCATCTGCCCCAAGACAAAGGTTCTCTTTCATTGAGCAAAGTGAATTTGATGAGGCTTCGTCGGAGACCGAAGATGATGATAGTGCCAGCGATGAAGATGGCGACGAATTTGAAGAACTTCAATTATCTAGGGACAGCCTTCAAGCATCCAAATTCAGACACGACGGTGACTCAGGGAACTTCATTCCCAAATTGCAAGCGAGTGACTCCACTTCAAATTCCTTCGATAAATTGCCTACATTTACTCGGGATAGGTATGACTTTTGGACTTTGGAGTCGGGGGTCTAAAACGCGCCTCCACTTCGTCATTTATTTTTTGCCATTACTATTGAATATATTTCGGCAGGCGTGTTGACGTTCATGAAAATCGATTTGCAGTAAAACTCCGGGCGTTGTTTGGCTAGTAGCCCTTGTTGGATCAGGAGTCCCCGCCGGAGTCCAAACTGGGTGCAGTTGGGAGACGGAGAAAAGCCGCAACCACGGCCGGTTGAGTCAAAGGTCCACGGGGGTGAGTTAGGTGCCTCACCGGGATCTGCAGGCGAACAGATGCTGACAATCATGCAGAGAAACGCCGCAGTCGGGATAGCAATCGGATATGGACGGGGCGAGCCGGTGTTGGTACTGGCGAAGGACCATTGAGTAGCCACTGCGTAG